GATGGATGGATGATGGATGGATGGATGGATGGATGGATGGGTAGATGGATGGATGGATGGATGGATGGGTAGATGGATGAATGGGTGGATGGATGATAAATGGATGGATGGATGCATGAATGATAAATAGGTGGATGGATGATGGAGTGGTAGGTGGGTGGATGGATGGATGGATGTATAGATGAATGAATGGATGGATGATGGGTAGGTGGATGGATAAATGGATGGATGCATTAATGATAGATAGGCCGATGGATGATGGAGGGGTAGGTGGATGGATGATGGATGGATGGATGGTGGGTGGGTGGATGGATAAATGGATGGATGGGTGGGTAGATGGATGAATGGATGGATGGATGATAAATGGATGGATGGATGATGGGTGGGTGGGTGGTTGGATAAATGGGTGGATGGATAATAAATGGATGGATGGGTGGGTGGCTGGATAAATGGATGGATGCATGAATGATAGATAGGTGGATGAATGATGGAGGGGTGGATGGGTGATGTATAGATGTAAATAGATGTACAAATGGATATATAAATAGATGTTGTGAAGAGAGTTGTCAGCACGTCGTTGTTGTTCCTGTTTGATGTTCTGTGTGTTTCTGGCTCCTGCAGGCTGATGAAACTCAAGACGTTCTGCACTTTAACTACACCTCGTGGCCGGATCACGGCGTGCCGACAGTCAACGCCATCGAGAGCATCTTACAGTTCGTTCAGATTGTACGGCAGCAGGTCAACAGGACCAAAGGGCCCATCGTGGTCCACTGCAGGTGAGACTCCAGTGCTGATGTGAGAGTCTGTGGTACAGGAGTCACTCCAGTTCTCAAAATGGGGGGCGGACTTAGTGATTTGGGGGCCCGAAGCAAATTTCAGGTATGGGGCCCCAACACAATAACTATATGCTCTTTTATGCCTAACCCTTATTTTACTCACGCTCCCTCTCTCTCATAGGTTATAGAGTTATTTACCCCTTAACAACTTAAGTAAATAATTAGTCAACCTGATGCTGTTCTAAAGCCATATTAGGCTACCTTATTTTTTTCGGATCACAAAAGAAGACATTATAAAAAATGCTTGCACTTGTCCATTTAATGAATTGTAAACTTCTTTAATCTTTTTACAAAAAGGATTCAAATGTCATAAAAATTATCCCATGCAACTCATTCCATATTCCAAGTGTTCTAAAGGCATACGGTAGGGTTTGCCGAGAAACAAATCGAAAATGTAATCTATTATTTAGAGAAAATCTCCAGTCATCGCATTCATGCATTTATATGAGTGTGCGGCAGTTCGCCCCGTGCACCAAGGAAAAGCGCACAAGCAAGTCATTTTGAAACAAGACAAATAAAATCATGACACGAAACACGATTCTTTCTTCTCTTAGGTTAATATATCTGTTCTGAGATAGTCAGTATTATGCAACCTAGAAAGTGCACAAAGAGTGCTCCCTCTATAATCACTAAACGCTGTCATTCACTTCAGTTCATCGCGCTCTCATGATGTTCCGTTAATCAATGAAGCTGTCTGCATTGCACAATCAATCTCTTATTTACATTGTATCTACACGTCGTTATAATGAGAGGATTCGCGAGCTTGCAGAACTCAGCACCTGATAAAAACTCAGTATTTTGAGCAGTGAGTGAACATTTGAAGCTCTCCATAAAACAAATACACACTGGAACGTTTGCCAAATATGTTTCGCCAATATCAGATGGGGCCCCCTGATTCCCCGGGGCCCTAAGCGGCCGCTTACCTCGCTCATTGGTTAAGTCTGCCCCTGCGCATGGGTACTGCAGGGGGACTGCGGGCCATCAGCAGAAAAAGAAAAGAAGATATAAAACAGTAAACAGCCAACAGACGTAGAATGGGAGATGGATCGGTTTGTGAAAGGGCAGTGAAAAGCCATAGATGAAGTTGCAAAAACCCAGGCAGGTGCTGGTCATTCAAAAGTTAAATGCAGAATATGATCTTGCTCTGAGCTTTACTCACCGTGTCTACACTGGACGCGACAAAGCGACCGCTGAAAATTATTTTGAACTTTGTGTCAGTATGTCATTAATAGAACGAGGCATCCGTTTACTGTCGGGGGTTTGTCGTGTCGCGCTGCGCCACATCCAGTGTAGACAGCATCACTGATTATAATGGGTTCTGCTGTATTTTGCCGCTCACGTCCAGTGCAGAGTATGTGAGCGGAGTGGAGCGGCAACAATTTCCCCTCCGCGCTACGGCTAAAATATTTCAGTATGTTTAAAATATCACAGTTCTGTTCATAACATATATTAAAAGAAAAAATTTAATAAATAAAATAACAGCAGAATAGTTTCAAAGTGGCTTATTGGAACACTTGTGTGCATGCCAAGCTAATTACATGGTTGTCAGCATTAAAAAGTATCATTGCTGCTTTTTGCAGTGCAAATTTTGTTTGTGAAGGATGCAAATAACTGTTTTTGTCATTTGTTTTACCTACGGATCGCTGAATTTCTTACTGCTCATTCGAAATGAAGGATACAGATGAAGTAGCACTGAAGGATTACATTTGTTTGAATGCATTATTGGGAGAGCGATTGCGTGTGAATAAGTGTACCTGTTTAAATCATGCGTTCCCCCGAAAATATTTATCTTAAAAGGAACAAACCAATTCCTTGAGAACTATAACTTCCCGTTGCCGTCATCGTAACCTTCACATTCTTTATGATTTGAGTGATCCATCTGTATCAAGCTAGCTAAATATGTTTAACATGTGAATTCTTGCTAATTTTTCTATGCAGTTAAATTATGGGCAGTTGGCATGAATTGTACTTGTGATTGTAACTGTACTCAGAGCAAGTGAAAACCACGATGCTCCGACTTTTAAAAAATCCACTCCTCACTCCATTCAAAATCACACCGCTCTGCTCTCTGCTCTCACTACACTCCGCTAACATACTCTGGTCCAGTGTAGACACTGTGTTAAATGTCATTGGTGAGGAGAAAAGTCGTGTCCTATGCCTTAAAACACTGGCAGCGCGGACAGCATGAAACCCACAAAAAATAAGAGAGAATATTTATTCTCTGTATGTTATTTTTCAATGTTTCAAGTGATGCAGGTTTTTCAATTTAAATCTGGAGTGGGTCGCACCGGCTCCTTCATCGCTCTGGACCGGCTGATGCAGCACATTCAGGAACACGAGTATGTGGACGTCTTGGGACTGGTGTCAGACATGCGCTCACACAGGCTCTCCATGGTCCAAACCGAGGTACAGAACCCGAACCAGAAACGGAATCAGATCCAGAACCGAACACTGAATCTGAACCAGAAACCGAATCAGATCCAGAATCAAACACTGAATCTGAACCAGTGCCAGAAACCGAATCAAATCCAGAACTAAACACTGAACCAGAAACCGAATCAAATACAGAACCAAACACTGAACCTGAACTAGAACCAGAAATAGAATCAGATCCAGAACCAAACACTAAATCTGAACCAGAAACCGAATCAGATCCAGAACCAAACACTGAACCTGAACCTGAATCAGAAACCGAATCAGATCACGAACCAAACACTGAATCTGAACTAGAACCAGAAACCGAATCAGATCCAAAACCAAACACTGAATCTGAACCATAACCAGAATCCAAATTAGATCCAGAACCAAACACTGGATCTGAACCAGATCCAGAACCAAACACTGAACCTGAACCAGAAACCGAATAAAATCCAGAACCAAACACTGAATCTGAACCAGAAACCGAATCAGATCCAGAAACTGAACCTGAACCAGAAACCGAATCAGATCCAGACCCAAACACTGAATCTGAACCAGAAACCGAATCAGATCCAGAACCAAACACTGAATCTGAACCAGAAACTGAATCAGATCCAGAACCAGAAACTGAACCTGAACCAGGGGCTCTTTTCAACTGCTGTTTTATTCTAGAAAAATGTTAAGAATATTTTATATTCCCAAATACTGTATATGTCTTAAGAATGCTCTTCTGTTTTTCTTAAGATTGTTCTTAAGACAAAACTTAATAAGAATTCAAATTCTTTCAAAGAATCTTCTTCAAAATGATTGTAAATAGGCTCTTAAAGTTAGAATAATGTCCAACGTGTCCTAAGTCCTCAAACGTGAGATATTTAAAATTCATTTATTTGGTTGTTTCAAGTTAATTGTTGTAATTAAACATAACAATATAACACTAATGCAACGTTATATAAAACAGACTTTTCAGTCTTTTTTTCAGTGTTTTTCAATGAATTGATCAGTGCCTTGTCAAAAAAATGTACACAAGAAAATATTTGAGAACTTTGAGAATTTCACTTGAGAACATTCTTACAGCTTCTTGGAATGTCTCAACTCCGTTTTGAAGATTTGGATGAATCTATGGAAGCTTGTTTGCACCACTGGATAAAAAGATAATTTAGACTTTTTAACTCACAATTCTGAACTTTTTTGTCACAATTTATAATTGCAAGAAAAAGTGAGAATTGTGAGAAAGAAAGTCTAAATTACATGTTTTATTTTTTATTCTGTGGCAGAAATGAGAAAACAACTCGGATAGATATCTGTGAGATATAAAGTCAGAATATTGATATAAACTCATAATTGTTAGATATCAAGTTAAAATTGCGGAAATTTGCTTCCATATGAATCCAGACCTGGAATGGTAAAATGACGTGTAATGTGTGTGTGTGTGCGAGTGCAGGAGCAGTACGTGTTCATCCATCAGTGTGTCCTACTTATGTGGAAAAAGAAGAAGCAGCAGACGCACACGAGTGACGTCATCTACGAGAATGTCAGCAAGTCCTAATGAAGTGAGACCTCAAAATTAATAAAATTTTATGAATATTAAAAATATATATAAATGGATGGATGGATGGATAATGGATGGATGGATGGATAGATTGGTGGGTGGATGGATGGATGGATGGGTGGTGGGTGGATGGATGATAGATGGGTGGGTGGATGGATGGATGGATAGAGGGGTGGGTGGATGGATGATGGGTGG